TAATGTAAAACGGATGTTTTCCTTTAGAATCTATAAACAAAATTTAAAATTTAAAAAAAAAATTATCTTTCAAAATTAAATATTAACCTATTTATTTTGCATTGAACATAAACGATTAAATCTTTCTTCTCTTACTTTTCCATTCAAACTAATATGTTAATATAGAAATGTGTTTATTCTCTGCTTGTTCTTAACATGAATTTAAGACGTTTTTGTTGTAGTTTTTTTTTTCGGCGAAAAATCCTTTTCACTCCTGCGCTATCTCTTTCCTGTCAAAGATGCAATTATAAACTCTAGCGCAATTTTTCATTGGTCTATAGTATAAGTTGACTCACTTCTCGACTTAAATCCATTATTCGATTAACTAAATTCATCATATTTTACAGAACTTAATAGTAAATAGAATGCGGAGGTGATGGATAGCCAGTATAAAAGAAAAGTACAGTCTCTGATGATAAATTGTAGAAGTGCACATGACCATCCAATGCAACGGTTTTAAAGATTTAAGAAAGAAAAAAAAAAAGGAAAAAAAATTATAAAATTTTATAAGTTACTCAAAGAATGAAGTTTAAGAATGATTTACCAATTTTATAAGAAAATAATCGATGCTCTTTGAACTTTTAAACATCTTTATATATTATCATTATATAATTTATCAAACGTTTATGATTATTAATTGAGTTTTTGATCACTTATGTTCATCAAAAACTATCGAATGAAATTTATTTTTATAAATCTGCATTATTCTGAGTTTAAATTTAACTAAATTAATAACATTTGATCGGTAAATTTGTCAGGAAAAAAAAAAACTAAGAAACTACGGAGTTGAAGTTTATTATTGGCTCAAGAAATCATATTTTTGAAGAAGCTAAATGATAATAAATCATAGAAAATGAAGCAGAATCGCCAGTTATTTCTTAAAAATTTATATATAAGATACTTCAAACAAAAGAATAAAAAAATAAACGAGCATCATCCGAAACTTAAAATCTTATAAATGCTGCTGAAAGATAAAAATCGATGTTCTCTCGAAATTTTCAACGGCACTCGAAAAATTTTTGCAATTAATAGGAAGAAATCGATTTAATTCTTCTTATAAAGAATTGCCTTCATAACAGTGAAGAAATTCGTTCGACCCAGAGATTTAGTACAACAGGTTATCCGAAAACTAGAAATTTTACGCCTTTTTGAAGATCGATACAGTACAAAGGCCGATAGGGTCTGGCCACCACACGTCACAATTCGTTAATGTTGGCCATCTTTCTAGCTAGGGTCGAACATTATTTACGTGACCACGATTTTATTGACTGTAACCAATTCATAATGTCTAGCTAGACTGGCGAAGATAGCGAGACCATCTGTCATATCGAGACATATCTACGGCTCTAACAGCAAGGATCTAGGCTCAAATTGATGGACCGTGGGACTTTCTTGTCAGAGAAACTCACCCCGACTCGTCTAAACAGTTAATGATACAGAAGTGTTAAATGTACCATTCTTTGTGTTTCAGTTTGTCAGCTTCACCTCTTCTTATATAAATTTCCGCAAATGTATTGTGTTTAGCAGAACTTATATAGAGTTGTTTTCATTAATCTTTCGTATTAAAGGCTTTCATTTATATATACTTTCTTTTTTTTAACTTTTATATATGGATAATTTATCAGTTTTCAACGTTTTATATTCAACCGATGACAGATTATATTGATATTGTTCGCTTTAACAATGAAGTTATTCAAACAAGAATGAGAAAAAAATACTCTTCTTTTTTTTTCTTCTGTTATATTGCCTTTAATCAAAAATAGAAGCCACCGTGAATGACACAAGAGAATACACAATATATGTTTTTAAATTATCGAAAAAAATTTATAAAAGATGGTTGCAATACGATAAGACAGATCCAATTATGCTTTCTGACGAAAATAAATCCTTTAAGGTAGAAATAAATGTTTTTAAAATAGAATATTTGCTTTTGTGCATGTTTCCAACGTCTCCAATTCATGTTTTTATGATCGAGATTTTTTTTTTAAATTTATTTAAAAATAAAATTATAATCTTCCCTCTCGTGCATAGCATTTTCATGTTTTCAAATTGCTATAAAAATATCTGAAGTGTAAACAAATTTTTTTCTAAATATTAATACGTTTCTGTTTCGTTCCTACGCCAAAATAAGTTAGTAAATAACGGAAAAATATCTTCTAAACATGTAAATTCTTAATATATTTTTTCCAATAACCAACAAATTCTAAATATATCCGCCTAAAAATACATTAATTTTCTATCTCAAACATTCATAAATTAAATAAAAAACTATTTAATATATTAAATTCGAACTTTCAGCACCAAATTTACTTAAATATAACCGAGTTTTCTAACATTTTAATCGGTTATTAGAAAGGGGATGCGTGGTAAATTTATAAAAACAACACGTAGAATGCCTCCAGAATGTTTATGTAACGGGTGTTATTCTTAAAATGTATACAAATAAAAGAAAAAAAAAAGGAAAATAGCTTTTGCAAGATGATGTTTCAAGCAGAATCCAAATTATAAAGATATTTGTTTTGTGCCCGCCTTACTCTAGACACTTTTGGATCTCATCCAAATGTTGAAAAATTCCGTGAACGAAAAGCTTTTCTACGTCGCTTGTTTTTCTGTGATCAATGACCTACTTCTATTTGCATAAGTAATATATTGTTCTATAAATAACCACCAAAATATTTTCTCTTCCTCTACCGAAGAAACCCGAATTTTAAGATCATTCACAGCGTGAGATATGTAACATTTACTTTCACCAATCGTCTTTAGAAAACAAAAAAAAATATCCAATTATAAAAACATTGTCAAGATTTTTCTTTAAAATTTTTGTTTTATTTAAATAAGATTTTTGTAAAGTTTAAAAAATATATTTTTAAAGTTTTTTTTCCCCCTCTTTATATTAAAGTATTTAGCAGGGTTTTATCCTGGTTTATTTTTCGCAAAAATTGTTTTCTTTCAATTGGATTTTTTTTCCTTCCTTCTGTTTGTTTTCTAATAAATCAAATTATCGATATATCTATATTAGACAACTTAGACTTTTCTTCTTTTTTCTTCTTATGCACTTCCACTCCAACCTTTATTGCTTTACAGATGTTATTGGAATCTATAAGCTATCTTCTTGTTTCCTTTCACATGACAAATTTCACTTATTAAACTGAACTCTCTCAAGAAACTAATTTAGAAAACAATGGAGTATATTTGAAGAAGTAAAAGTTGAGATAATTTATTCGTTGTTTTTTAACCGTTTAAATTTTTTCAAAGGCCAATAGCAAAGTATTTAGGATAGAGATGAGGTCACCCTGTACTAGGAACTTGTCATTAACTCAACTCGAAGAAATAGTTGTCAAACGTAACAGGATTACAAATTACTGAGGAGGTGGAGGAGTTTTTCTTCTTGACACTGCAGTCTAAACTTATATATAAAGGAGTGGAGTGATGGATGACGGATATTTCATCGCGACACTCGCGACTGACTGATAGCCAACACGGATTTTTCGGTAATGGTGCTACTAGATAGAGTAATGTGCCGAGAGCAGATGTTTGAGATTAACAAGTTGCTGAAAATTGTTCTTTGGCACTCCATTTTTGAATATTTGTATCATCTGTACTCTGTGGTGTATCGGTTGTATCAATTTCCTCCCGTTCTTTACGCTATTTTGCGCCATATTTGATGACTGTAATCTGAAAAAAAATGCTCTCTTCTTCAGTCAGTAAGAATATCAAATGGATTAGGAATAAATGTACTTTATTCTATTCAATTTAAAAAGCACAAAAACAACTGAATTAATGTAATTTCTTAAATTCTTAGTCGTTTAATAAATGAAATTTTTACATAAATAAATAAATTCTTGTGCACAAAACTAATACACATTTTTAAACATATAAATTCAAAATTGGGATTATCTATTATGAATGAAATTACAATCCAATCTTCAATAAACGACCAAATAACCTCTAAACAACGGCCATCTTTTATGTTTCCGTCAGTGGTCGTTGTTCAGAGATTTAACTGTACAAGTTTTAATGTTCAATTTAAGCTTCTCTGTAACAAATTTAAAGAATAAAACCTGTGTACAATTTTACTTTTTATAATATTTATTAAGTAATTTATATAATTTCTAGAGGATTAATTTTATCTCTTTAAAAAAACTGATGTTACGGGATGACCGTAAAAGATGACCAAGGATAAATCTTATTAAGGAAAAGCCAGATTTTGCTTTTAAGTAATTAAATTTAGATGAAAAATTGGACTTCTTCCACAATCGCATGTTGATGTAGAGTTTCAATAAAACTTAATCCGCAAAATTTTAATTTAGGATAAAATATTGCATCCAATTGATAAAGCATCTGGTTTGTTTTAATAATTAGCGGCCATATTTTAAAATGAACTTAGCCAGAGAAAACATTCATTAAAATATAATTTATTATTCAAAGAGAATGAGACTACACACGTTAAAAAATTCCTTATGAGCATCAGAACAAATCGATAATCTGATATTCAGCTTAGACGTAACTATTTATCTAAGTTATCATCAAAAAAAAAAAAGTAGAAAAATAACACTTTTATACACAAATCTTGCATTTTTTTTTCTTTATATATATAGGAAACTCGATTATTAATTAATAAAATTGGTTTGTATACATCAATTAAGAAGGGTCATAAACAATGTTTTTTTTTTTTTAGTTTAAAGAATGTACTTGTATGCTTATTATATATATCAACCTTTCTGACGACTTTTAATGCCTTTCTTAAAAATATATTTCTCTTCTCTTTGTCCAGCTACACCCATTTAGATTCTATTCACAAAAGTTAGCGTAGCACACATAAAAGTAAAATGAAGTGAATTAAGGACACCATAATTCACTTTACAGAATGAAATAGGCTCTTTTTTTCCTTCTCCAACTTCGACTTCTCAATGAGACGTCTAGCAGCTAAACTTATTTACACTTCAAGAAAAAAAAAATANCATAGCATAAATATCTAACAAAAAAAAAGGAGGATTAATAATACTTCATGCACGTATATATCTATATAGCTCTAGTATAATATAGTAACCTGAATTTTGGCTAATTTCTGCTTTCCATCACGTATAAGCAGTACGTTAATATGTTTAATACAAGGGATAATAATTAAAAAAAATTCCATGCAATAATTTAAGGGTAAAAATTTTACATCATTTCTGTGAAGTCCTATTATAATGTACCTCTTAGGAAAATTGTTACGTGATAAAAACGACCGCCCACACGAGTGGGGTCGACAATTTAAATAATTAAAATACAGAATAATTATCTTCGATAAGGCAGCTTTAAGTAGAGAGCGACAAAGTCGCTTTCATTCGAACATAACAAAAGCTCTATTAGGTATTTAAAGACGAGATGACCAATGATACGAGGTCTTAAATTTGGCATCTCTTCTATCCCGTCTTCCATTTGTACCATAAATTCGGAACATCGTTAAGATATGCTCCAGTTCCAATTCGTTATCCTGAAACAAGAGAGATTTTTCAGTATTTTCTATATAAATGTATACTATTTATAGTATGTATTAAATATAATTTTAAGGAATATAAATAATTTAATATAAACACTAGAAATCTACTCTACGCGTCAGTCTCTTCTCCTACATCCAGATCTTTAATTAAATTTCTATCTGGATATTTTTATGGTATACTCCTTACACTGTCGAGAACAACAGTGGACGAAATTGCTTCCAATCTATTATCCACAAAGCAATTATGTGTCTACCATCTGAAAGTTAGGTACATCCTTGGAAGGTACTGTACACACACGGATACGATCCAATGATCATCCGAATGCCGTATTTATCTGGTTCTCGCGTGTCTTTCCTACAGGATGCAAATATCTTTCATTTTAGAATTTTACTAATTTATATATTAATACTGGGATGACAGTTTCTTATAATAGCAAAGTGATTAAAAGTGTGGCAATTTCTCACCTGTAATAATTAGTAGACATTTTCATGGATCAAAACCTGGCATGAAATGTCTGTAACCTTCGGCGCCAGTAAAGATGACATCCACCCAGATCCGCATCGATTCGGAGTTGGGAGCCACCAGATAGTAGAGCTGATCATCAGTTTTCACGCAAAAAGTAGAACGTGGGTTCGGGCTGCGAGATGAATGTTCGTGATCCACATATACTTCTTCGATGCACTAGAAAATAAGGTTTATCGATTTCATAACTGAATCACGATCTCTTCTATCTTATCTAAACGCGAATTTTTTTTCCCTCCTTCTATCCGAGTGTCAATGCACGAAAAAAAAATATCGAAAACAATGACTGGAAGAATCGAAAATAATTATTTTCCCTATCCTACTGTAATTATTTCACGTATTGGGATTACCAACTAATCCACTTCTTGTTACGTAGGGTAATTACGAAAAACTGAACATTAGTGCCATTGAATTCGATTATAAACTCATCTAGCCGGATGTAAAACTTTATTGGGATTGGGATTTAAAGCTGTGTAACGTCATAGAATTTTTGGAAAACCAATAAAAGATGACCAGATAAGTTATTAGCGTGGCTAACGTAATCCTATCTCCCAAAGGAAGTTGAAAAAAGCTAGGGATTGTCTCTAGATGGAGTTATCTGAGGAAGAAAATAATCTCGTGTGACATCGGATGCCCACTTAATGTATCCAATGTTTTGCACCCTCGCAACCAAGGGAGTCATTTCTGGTAAAGATGGCTCTATACTTTACACCATTGGCCATTACGTTAGATTTACAGGACTATGGATAAATCAATTTAGAACGGATAATGAAGATGAAATGTCGCAGAAATAGCGGAAATTGTCTCACTCAGTCTAAATAGTTTATCTAGACACGTACCAGGACGTCTGTCCTGACTGGTTCGTGATCCGCATCCCCTCTCTCGCATCTACATCTTGCAAGCAAATTTATATATATATTCTTCGAAATAAAATATAGGACTATCGATTTAAGTAAGATTATTATTAAATTATACATTAAATATAATTTTCTGTAAAGTCATTCATGAATTAAAAATATGCTCGAAAGGAGTAGAAAAACTTCCTAGTTTTGAGATACTTTAGACTTTCTCTATTTATAAAACGTCGTTATATTTTGGACTCGCACATGTAGCAAATTTTGGCCATTTCCAAGGTCGTTATAAAAAGATTTAATCTTTCTAAATATACCAGTAAAAAAAGAAGAAAAAATTTCAAAACTCACCTGGAATGTTATTCCATCTTTTAGTTTATTTTCGGACCGATCTGAGTAGAACACTAATGTTTTCTGACGTCGATCGAATACCACCCAACGTTTTTTCCAGCTTCTCCATCTTCCAGTCAAAACTTGGAGATATCCTTTGCAGGTGGAAGTGGTGATGTCAACGTGGTGACACAAGACTATTTGGTGGCCCGCCGATTCGATGTGTCTACGAAGATCGATATCACCTCCTCTTACTGGTAGATAGCGCGTTAAAGGACGCTGAAACGAAAATAAACATATTTAACCCTCCCTCGACCAGGTAACTAATGCTTATGGCCAAACAATTTTTCTAATTATAAACTTGGCAATCTGAAAGACGAAAATAGCTTAATAAGCTAGTAATGGTGTAGTGTGCAGGCAGTGAATTAAAGGACGATGTTAATCGTCTCATACTTTGATGATTGCTCGATCCGAAGCGATAGTAAATCTTATCTCGCTGTTTGATCTTCTTTCAGAGAAGAGAAATTGCTAGCTGAGACCATTGGCACACACTAAGTTAGTATGCCTTCGAGTAATTGAGAGTGACTTGCTTTCTTTTTCCTTCTTTTTCTTCACCAGAAGTGATCACAACTTTAAACACACCAAAACAGCTTTGCTTAATAAAAGTGAACTTTGGAAACACTACAGCTTTCCGACCACCCTTCTTATCGGTTTCCTAACTTCTAAAGGAATTTATAAAGACCAATATAATATACCTGTGCATTCTTGTTCTTCCTTTCGCCCGCATCTTCGTTTTGACTTTTGTCGTAATCGATGCAGCTATCATCTGGATTAGCAATGACCAACGATTCTCTTCTGGTTTTCCCCTAAAATAATAAAAATAATAATAACAATAAATTTTATTATTAACTGCATCGTTTCCTCTACATTTTTACATTTAATGATCATCACTCCGACGTCTAGGCAAGAGCAAAGGTTGGCTCTTCTCTTCTACTAATGGTATTACTTCGGATGTTAGAAGAATCCTAACAGTAAGAGCCAAATGAAGATAAAATGGAAAGGTTTAATGTCGAGTGGAGAAGTTATCCGAGGCAATATTCCACGATATATTTTAAAAGCTGTCAGCAGAGCCATTAATTATACCAAAGGATAAACGAAACAAAAAAAGAGTAAAGTCAGCTTTTTTTCTTATCGAAGAACACTTTCTTGTAAATTTTTATAAATGTATCGAGACGACGTTTTTCGATTAGGAATTCTTCTCGAGTTTTTCGACTTTTAAGATTTTCTTCGCACCTGGCCACCGTACTAAAAGTAGCATATCGTAATTCTGTAAGCGTTACTTAATCGAAAAACTGGTGCCAAGAGGGGGTAATTCGAATATTTCTCACATACGTTAAGACGTATAAAGCTCCTATTTAAGTTTCAAAGATAGAAAGTGACAAAATAATGGCTTAATGCCATTAGATAAAAGTGATACAATTTTGTTTCCTGTAATTCGAAGATGCAAGACGGAAGTCGAAGGGTTAGTAATGACCCGATTAATTGTCCATATTAAAGACAATAAACAAATATTTTTAACGGTTTGGCAATTGGGATAGATCTTTAATAAAACTAGAAAATGATTATAAAACTTATCTTTCTCACTTTACCGTTAATATAATTAGATAATTAAAGCAAATGAAATTGTTAGAGTAATGTTAAGCGCATTAGGAACAGTACCTTAACGTAGTAATACCGTTAGTACTGTTGTAGTGGAATGCAATGAGAGCTTATTACGAACATGTAAATCTTAACGCACTTTACCAATCGACTCAAAGGTCAAGAGAACTTCTCTAACAGACTTTTGCCACGAAGTTTTCTCCGAATCTACAGAGATTTGAATAATTCCCTCGGATAATACAATTAAACGTAGTGCGACTCGACCTACAGCGCTTTAACTTATCCTATACGGATAGATTTAATTTCCTAGTCACAACAACGACGGCCTTTTCATCGGCCTACCATTAAGTCCTCAAGAGAATTGGCTTTGTCCACGTTGACAATTTATCCGACAGTCATGCCTCCGTATCGCTGACAGATTAATGCATACAAGAGCCGCTTAATAGCGAAAAATTCCTTTGAACGTAGAGAACCATAAGCTATTTTCTTGAATTTCAAATGCTTTAAGTTGTTGTATGTGTTACGAAGATATAAGCTGAATGAGCTATAAGTAAAATTTGCTTTATCTTGAGAAGAATTGAGAGTTGCTTCTATACCAAGTTTAAATTTCCCATGTCCAGTAATATTTGAAAATAATTAATTTAATCTTTATTTATTCTTAAGTTGTTTAAAAATATAACAGCCTGAGTGACTTGTTAAACTCAGAATAAGGATATCTATCCACATTTTTAGTTCTCCAACGGATAGTCATTAAAATATTATAGAATCGATATCACGAAGATCGCGAGAGACGATCTTGGAAATCATTTTATTAAATTTGTTTCCTTTACTAAATTCTATAAATATTATACTTTCAATTAAAGTCTATCAGACCAATTAAATATAAATCACAAATAACGTAATGATCCTTAAACACTTCTACTTCTAACAAACCGTAGTCAATCCAATCGAAAGTATCCTGGTTACAACTTTGAATTTTGATACGGATATATTTTCGTAAGAAAATTCTCGATTTGAAAACATGAAAGGAAACACTTAACAATATGTCCTTAAGAAATTGTTTAAACAACAGTCAAATACGTTAAAACTCTGGTATGCTATTCCCGATATTCTCTTAGGAGGAGGAGAACACTAAGAGAAAATCAATAAGAACCTGATATAAAGATCTTAAGGGGTATGAGAGAAATGGACGAAAGCCCGTCTTAAGCTTAACTTGGTAAGAAATTCGCGTAATGGAACTTTTCCACGGTGCCAATCCAATTATTAAAAAATAAACAAGCAAAAAAAAGGTACAAAACAAATAATAATTATTTATCTTCTAACTTTATTATTGATTTTCTATGATAAATGCGCCTGGCAGGAAACGAGAGAGTGCCCCGTTCCTACCTTTAATGGGGATGACCTACCTTACCTGGCGGAGGATCGCTTCCTTCGCTAACTAACCAAAGAAAAATTTAATTCGAGAGCGCCAAAGGGCAACTACAAACGCAATCTAACGTGGACAATCGATAACCGGTAATAAGCAGCAAGGTCCCTCTTCCATTCTGCAAATGAGATCTGCAGATGCCCAATTCGCCCAGAAGCACCCATACCAGAAGCGACCAAAGTATCTACGATGTAAGAGAAGTTATGAGAATTTTTTTTAAAAATATTTTTATTTTGTTAATAGAATTTGGTGATTTGAAAGAATCGCTTCGAATTTCCCTATTCCACATACGAAAATCTAGAACGTCTGAACTTTTTAAAGATTTATGAGGTTCTTTCATTTGCCAATTTCGTCTCATACAGGTTATATAAGTCTAAACAAAGTAGGATCCTTTGCCAGAAAGATGACGAAGTAGCAGTAAACAATCCGACATCTTTTCTAACGAGTGGGGTGGATCGACCTTTCCTCCTGTAAATTAACCCCTCTCTCGCTTTTACTGATGGTAGATTCGATTTAAAAATTTAATCGACGGATGTTTACGCGACTCAGCGGCCGGAAAATTATATGTTTATGTAAATGGAGGGGGGTTTTTGCAAGGCCGATCGAGTAGCAATTCCCCCTCCGAACACTACTTAAATGATTGAAGCTTTAAATGAAAGTGGTTTGGTTTGGCGGTGCGGTCTATAATCGATTCGACATCTGGCCAGCCACCTTAATGAGGCAGGGTCATCAATCTCGAGGGAGGAAAGCGCGCTTATCATTTATCATCCCTTTCAACCGGTTCATTTTCGAATCTGGATCGAAAGATCCCGATTAGACATTAATACCTCCAGTTCCGTAATTAAGTAAGGCAGCTCTACTCAAAGGATAATCTTTTAATTCGCCACTCGTCACTCTGCGTTTAATTAAGCACTTCGATTTAATCGACTCGTTCCTGATTTTCCTACTTTTTTTAAGGTATCGACTGAGAACGAACTAGAATTTCCCAACGCCATTATCGAAGAGAATTTGGCAACGTTTAAATAGATAATAAAAGATTATCGAGTGAAGTTTAACCGCCTTTATCAATGACCGCTTAACACTTCCTCGCAGCAGTTTACATTCGATCCCAAATCTAGTTTTCTAACGTCGCTAGAGAGCCAAAAGATCTCAATTCTTAAAGAATGTAAGCGCTTGTAACTAGATTGAAGAAATGATACGTGCATCTAACTGTATAGGCTCTACAATAGATCCAGTTTCTCTTTTATCTATAATAAATTGCGAATGTTGCAGCCTAGATTTTTATTTGACGTTGGTAGCATCAATATGAAACAAAAGTACTCTTTCTTCGTCACTTTATGAGAATTAATATTTTGTCTATTGTAAGTAACGTTAAGAAAATCGTACCAGTTCAGAAAATGGGTTTTGTGAATCATCTCGAGAGGTCCGATTTAATATCCGAAAGTAACAAGTTAAAATTGAAAAAAAAAGAGCAAAAGCAAACAACGTTACTTGGGGGAATAACAGCAGCTTAGCTACTTATTTGACACCGGAATATAACCGATTCGAACATGTGAACGGGATGTAGTCTGTTGCTGCTCATCACTTTTCAGCTGTCGAGTAATGAACTTTCAATCCCCATCGGCCGGTAGCTTCGGTTACTACAGCAAACTGGTGATAGATAGCGCAGCTTCTAACCGTCCCCGGAGCATAGCTCCTCCACCGCATCCCGGAGGAGCGCGGCTACGCAAGTAAAGAACCGAATTTTCCATTCTCGACTCGATCAGAGTCGAGGGAGCGTCACGAATGGTTTCCATTTCCCTTTCATCAGTGCGAAAAGTCACAATTTTTGCGCCATTTACAGATTTGTTTTCGAAAATAGCGAGGAAGATAGAGAATTTATAAAAAGAGTTGCAACTATTCAGACAAATGAAACATTCTGAATATTTCCACGTGTCCGGGATGATGGTTATTAAAAAAAAAAAAAAGTCTTTCTTTTCGTATCAGCAGCGAGTGCACTTTCGTAATTTTCCAGCAAAGTCGTTATGGAAGTCGGGAGAACGGTGCAGACTTTGTAACGTGTAGCTTTGCCCCCTTTTTTTTCCTGAAAGAAAGCTCTGACCGCTCGTAAATCTATTCGACTTCCAAACAGATATAGCCAGACGTAAAATATTGCCAGAGATTGCGGAAACGTCGAAAAGGCGCATGTTTACAACTCCACTCCTTTTACGACTTTCCAAGATTTAGGAGTGTCGAATATGATTTGTAAACTATGAGTTCAGATGTCGGTGGAGATGCGAAAACGCTTACCGTGTGTCAAACTTTTGTTTCTCCTTTGCTTGTCTAAAATATAAAAGCGGGAATGCTTTTAATTCTATAACTTAATTCGGTTTACCGTTAATTTGACGAGTTTAGATCCCGGTTGATTAGATAATCAGATTATTAAACCCTCGTAGAGATGCTTTGTCGTCTACAAAATCCTAGAGGCACGAATTTAATCCATTTGGAGGATCGGGAATAAAGCGTTTAACATATAATTAATTAATACCTCATTGGATTTAAATTACTTAACCGGCTAAATGATGATGATGGTAACAGTAATGAACTCACCATTTTTCCATTTCGAAAAAAATAAACCATAAAAATGATGAGGAATTCGGAGCGTGCATTACTCCTACCCCCCAGAGACTATTCGCAAACATGACACGTAGAAGCGAGTCGGGCACACAACCCTTCGATAAGATCGCTGAACTCGGTTTCCGTTAACTCTTATCAGGGATCCTGATCCTGGCCGATAATTTA